TTTGCTTTTTACGTTCAGCCAGTTTAATTTTCATATTAATACGAAATGTTAGAACTTCATCATATTATACTGTACAGGATATGACAGGCAATTTAACGCTAAAACCTTTTCGAAAATTCACTTCGCTTTCATGTTCTCTTTTTACTTGCCTCGCTTAATAAATGCATGTAAGTCCAAGCACTTCAGTACTGCACGACATTTTAACGTCATACGTATAATGAAAAATGAATCTATTCCTATTTTACTTTACAAACTTAGAATGATTATTAAAATAATAGAGGTAGCAATTTAGGTAAAACAAATTTAGAGGAAGTTAAGAAATGGGAAAGGGTCATTATTCGTCTGAAGCAGTGGTTCCTAACCTTTTTAATATTGTTACCCCTGTGACCTGAAACTGATTTTACCCTGACCTTAAAATGCAATACAAACAACACAAGCAAATACAAATATTTTTAATAATCACAAATTGCACATCAGTCTTACAATTTGATATACCTAAACAATAAATTAAGTAAACATAGTTAGTGTAATGGTTGGTATTATTTTGCATTTAGTTTTTTTTATGTTAGCTTTAATTTCGCTTAAAGCATATCCTAAGTCATGCTCCACATTTAGAAGGATTCTGGTCTTTGTCTTCACTGTAACCACAGTTGAAAATCCACTCTCACACCTATAGATAGGTTGCTTTTCGCCAAAATGTGCTAAGATCATAATTTTGAAATTCTACTCTGCAAGAAGTATTCTGGCGTAGTCCAAGATATCCCACTTTGTCCCCCAGGTCTTCGTCTTTAATAATGTTATCATCCGTAGTAAATGGTCTTAATATCCAAGAACTGGACTGACGATTATCCATATCCGGAAAATATTGCTTCAGTGAGTTTATTGCTGCAGATAAATACTGAATCACAGAATTTTCAAATATGATTTTGTTTGGTTTAATATTTACCAATTGTGCATACAGATGTGTAAACATCAACACATCTATAATTTTATATTTTCAGATATTTTATCAGATTAGATCTCAATTATTAGGTTCTTTGTTACCCCCACAGAATAATTGATTTACCCCCGCGNCCCGGACATTCGAATGGGGGACTAGTTTACGTTCGGAGTGCTTTACTCCAGAGGACGCCATCATTCTAGTTTGGTGTGTTTTTCTTGGGATATCATTATGTGGTGTTTTCCCGTTGCCTTTCACATCGCAGTATTGTGCATCAGAGTGCCATACCGATCCTCATGATTTCTGCCACCCTGAGTACTAAAAGAGCTGCTGCCCTCTACTTTTATGCTTGCAAGCGATTAATTTAGAAATTTGAAAAAACTTGTTAAAGGTGTATGTCTGGAGCGCGAAACATGAACTATTTTTCCCAATCTGCGTTTTTAAATCTAGATACACTCATGAAATCAATATCTTTTACAGCATAAAACTGGCAAGACACTTCTTCGTTCAAATCATTATTAACAGTGAAAGGATAAGTAAGTAATCGTGCAAGATATAATGTTTCAATTAGTTTTGTGTCTGTATAGGGTGATTTATTAATAGATGAAATAAAATGTGCATTTACTTTACAACCCGTTCCTTTAAGATACGCCAGGTAAAACGATACCATAATATATGGATAGTAGAAGAGGAGCACGATGCCATCACACTGGGGACTTGTTCTACCACGTTATCGCAGTGGCAGTATGACAACGGTGTCATGTCTCAAACAGCAAATTCCGACGACTACAACGTATTCGAGTTATTTTTCAAAACACCTGTCACTTCAATTCGTGACATGCACCACTCCGTTTCTTTGGTACACTATCTAGACATTTTCCATCCGGAAAAGGTGAACGCAATTCGAAATATTCATATTTGTAATATATATACGAGGTGTAACAGAAATATGTACGGAGCCTGCAGAAAAGTGATTCGAGAAAAACGTAGTTGAAAGTGCAGATAAATTCAATTTCGGCCCTGGTAAAGAAATACGACAACGCCACATCGTGTTCAATCAGCTGGCAATTGGCAGCACTGGTGTTGTAGTTTTTGTATTCTTTTTCTCTCATGTGTTGTTTGTTATTTGTTAGATTAGATTAAGTGTAGTTGAGGATGTTTATACAGTCAATTGATAATTCTATTAACGTGTAAATCTTGTTTTTAGTCAGTAGATGTTCAGTTCAATAAACTAATTCAGCAACACATCAGACATTGGAATAGGTCAATAATTTACTATAGAGCAGTTGTTGTAAAATAATGCGGCATGATACTTATTTACGGGTTTAAACATATCGCCGCTATCAAGGGCGTAACAACCTACAGTTGGACTAGGTGCTCCCATCATACTATAAATGACTTACAAGAAAAGGCCACCAATGTATTCAATTAAAATGCATGAAAAGATCCAGTTCGGCTGCTCATTTACGAGCTTGAACTATTTAAACCGAACTTTCAAGTTGGGTTATTATCTGAATTGACTAGAATTGACTGGGTGCCCAACCCAATCAAGTGGGTGCCCGAGCACCCGTAGACCCCCCCCTCACTTGTTGCGCCCCTGGTCGCTACACATGACGAAATTTTAGATTTCACAAAGGACAAAATAGTAAACACGAAATAGCAGGGAATGTTGGCTTTTCTCATAATGTGATAGTGTAGTAAATTTTAAAGGAACCGTTACTGTAACCTTATCATTTACAACGAATGCAAGCCTTTCTGGAAACAGATTTTCAGTCGTCAGAGGTTTTGTGTCAGTGGCTTCAAAAGAAAATTGCTGCAATGGAGTCCAAATATTATGGGTATTGTGTGTGTAGTAGTAAATTGTTTGTTTATCTTAGAGGTTCGATAACCGCCACTATTTACATTCTCCATTATTTAAGTGCAGAATTTTAATCCCAATTCGTTAACGTGCACAACTACGTTGCCAATTTGCTTTTCCTGAAAACACTTTTTGTCCTTAACGACGCTGCTGAACTCACCATGCGATTCTTTTATTGCATCTGATTTACACTCTCCAAAGCACCTATTTCAGTTACACCCTGTATATGTAAATATGTCAACGGGCTTTCTCTCTTCTAGTTCGTTCAAATAATTCCAGTTCCTATTAGCATTTTTAAAGAGTAGATTTCCATATCTGTCGAAGAAAGCGCTTTACATAGATCTCAAATGATTACTCCTTTGAGCTTCTTTGTACATTAATAAATGAAACATCTGTTATCATTCTTTTGGAAACGATAACTTGACATATACATTAAATTATGCGCCATTATATAAGTGCTATTGCAAAGGTTGGTGTTTTCTTCCTCAAGCATCCGAGATATCTGTTGTACAACTTCATTATCCAGTTTTCAAAAGCCTACAAATATTTCTGTCGACCTTGATAGTAAAACGGAGGGAATGGCAAGCACATGTGCATTAGGTTGATCTGCTGGACATGCTCCAGAAGAATTTAAACAACCTAACAATCTTCAGAGAAAGTCATGATGATGTGTAACATGTTTTACGTATCATACCAAGTGTCAATTTAGACCATGTTCGACGATAAGATAAATCTTCCCACGAGTTCTCTACGAACAAGCTGCTAATAAGCAACTCTAATGAAGCGAGTGCAAATAGGAACGCGTACTTCGCAGTTAATATTCATGAACATGGAGATTTCTGCGTGCTATCAACATCGCCGGTTGATGCTATCATGGCTGGAATGTCTATTGGAGATGTTTCTTTAAATGTCGTCATTGTTGCAGACTATTAAAAAGATATAAGGTAGTGCGATAGATATTATAATAAGAATTCTCTGGAAACTTATGAAATTACGTTTTTGTAACAATTGCACGACCACATTATGACCAGAAGTTGAATATGATTATTACGTATTAGGTAGATCATTTAATAGTAACGATTGATGATGTAGGTACATTTTGTCACACGTAAATTATGTGTAATGGAAAATTTGATGCTTTTGGAACGATGCGTATCGTCCTTTATAGATTCCAGTGAGAAGATGAAACAATGAAACAAAGGTTAACTATTACCGTTCTGTTCATGGAAAATGTGACAGTCTATGAAATTTTGTTGCATCAAACAATAGGAAAATGAGGTATCCCTAAAACGTGCCCGTACAACTAAGTTCGCTGAGGGTTTTGGACCTTCATTTTATGGATCTCTTTTATACCTCATACGCATTTTGAAAATAATTGACTATCCGCAGCTTAACTTTCGTGAACTCTTTGAACAAAATTTGAAACTACCTAATATCAAGACGCTTTTGTACTGACAATGTCATTGAGGTATCATCATCATCATAAGGTCGTCAATCCTAAGACTGATTGGACACGCACCTTCACTCCTTCCTATCCTGAGTTAATCTTCGAATTTCCTTAAAACCAGAACATCCCACATCCTTAACTATTTGCGAACATCAATCTAATCTAGGTATATCTCTGGTCCTCTTAACTCCTGTTTCTGCCTCTATATGTTTCTGACTAGACCTTCATGTCTGAGAAGGTGTCCTACCAACCTATCTCACCCATTCCTTATCGGCTTCCATAAAGTCCTCTGTTCTCCTGTTCTTTCTAATATCTCTTCATTTCCAACCTTCTCTACCCACGGTATCCTCATCATTCGCTGATAACACCACATTTCAAACGCTTCTAACCATTAAGGTATATCCGATATTAAAACATGACCATATTGTTGGTGACTCAATATAAACTGGAATGGTTTATTTATAGCCACCTACGTAAATATTCTTAATTTATTTCCAAAATTCCAAATTTACTAGCAAAATTTATTTAGGTGCTACGTTCAAGTAACGGTTTAACCCATGTCCGTTTATCTGAAAAACGAAAGCAGAAATGTCAACCGTTATCTCAGTCACGATCTAGTGAGCTGAAGAGGCTGAGATAAGCCAGCACATACGTCTTAATTTATTGGAACCCGTCGTACCAGAAGTCGTTTCAAATGCAGATACGCATATGAATAGAGCGATTGCTATCGAAGCCACATCCTATTAGGCATGCCAAGAGGCAAGCTGTCAGGACACGTACAAACGCTTGACAGTTGTACCGTTCACAGAATTGAAATGTTACAGCACAATGGTGGCTGGATGCACACCAATCCCTGACGCAGCATCACTCGATCTTCCCAGCTGTCCCACGCCATTGGTCCGTTGAATCGAATGCGCGTGCACGTGGTATTATACGACACGCCCATTCCCACGTACGCTTGCCCCAGTAAGTACAGTAATAGAGCGTCGCGACTCAGACGCCAACTAAGTAAGGTGTAAGTGAGTGTTTCGTGTATGTGGCGTCGCGTCAATGCGTGTCAACCATATAAAACGCGAGGGATTTCGTGCTCGGTTCGGATGAAAATCGCTTGATTTATACTCCTACATTGATGGCAACGATGATGATGGACATTGGAATGTACGGACATCATAATCAACACAGCTCCTCGTATAATCCGACGGAAAGTAATTTCTACAACTATGGTGGTGATATGTATCCACAGACTCATATCATGAACCATCAGATATCATCATCTCATTATGGTACGTCTGCTTACCACTACGAAGATACTTCTTCATATATGAATGCTCCAGAATCACCACCATCTCCTCAGGAGATGGGATTCTATCAAACTCATAACGCTAGCATGCCGACAGAAAATCCAATAATCAGTACCGAAACTGGACTGAGTTATACCAACTTGGACTACTCCAATTCTGGTGGTACAAACTCGGTATACCAACCGACGGACCATCCTCACGGATACGAACCAGAAACGTTTCATCACAGGGTACAGTCTGAAGCTATTTTGAGACATCACGACAATGTAGTGGATCACGGAAGTCATTTTTATCATGAGACGAAATTCCATCCATCTCAAATTGAGTCTGATGGATATCCTCATTCTCATTTAGTACTGCCGAATTCTCATTCTTCCTGTAGTGATTTCCAAAGTCAGCATCGATTCAAGAGCGAAGACTTTCAGACCTCTCCAGACACTGGACACCAACGGCAGCACCATCTTGTTCATCATATGGCGTCTGCATCCCATTCGGTTCCTTCCTTGCCAACTTATAAATGGATGCAGGTTAAAAGGAATGTACCGAGACCACAAGGTAAGAGGCCAGCAGAAACATTAATTTACTGCGATTTTTGGGAACAATGGAATTAAACGGTTAAGAGATTCCATGGAATTGAATCTTGAATGCTGAACATTAAAATAATGTTTTTTTACTATACTCCTCCCGATGAGAAACTAACATCCTCTCCCGAGTAAGAAATCGCATTTACTCTACATTAGGAATAGGATTTAGCACCCTTTGCGTGGTTTTCAACCTCTCCTGCTTTAGCAATTTCCACGGAGATGATGATGACGGAGAATAGCCCCTTTTCTGAAAAACAGTAAATGCGATTTCTTACCTGGCAGGCATCCCCCCCCCCAAGTAGCAATTCACACCACGGAGAAAATTCAATACTTTCTTCACCTGCTGCTTAATACATCACTATTATATACTTTAGCGAGAATGTACCAAACTTAAATTGCATTTGCATTGCAAGAAATTGAATAGTTACAAGTTTCTTAGTATCTTCCTTTTGATAAATGTTTCTCTTGACGAATAAATTTGTCTACAAACTACAACAAACATTGAAACCCGCCTGTCTCTTCTGAAGACCGTTATCTGCGTTCCGAATAATCATGACGTTGCTTATTAATTAAAAATTATAAATGAATCTAACAGGCAGCATTCATGATAAATAAAAAGTTCGTTCCTGGGACTGATTACATGCACGAGGTGTCAGTTAAGATCTGGACAAACGATAATTCGTTGCGACCCCCGCATATTACACTTGACCCTGCGTGATCTAGTCGTCGCATGCACGAACCTTAGCCACTAAAGTCGCAGAACTTCAATAGACATGCACACACATTCAATGTTAAAAAGTGCCTGACAAAATTTTTGAACTCGACACAAAATATCCATGTACATATAGGTGGTATATATAGTTACCGTTTTTTAAAACCCAAAAATGTTTTATTTTCTATTCTTGATGTAATTTATTGCAAAAGATACGATCAAAGATATTTAATTTGAATAAGTGTAACGGTTAGAAACTTTTGTAAAATATTGTAGAAGGACTGATGTGCATATAGTATTATTTTTAAGGTCCTTTTGGTATATTATGACATACAATTATGTGATACTTCATCATCAGCACCAAAGATGAGACATTACACATATAGCCATTCCAAATATTCAAAAATTACTAAAATTCGTTGTAGGTTTCTTTATGAAAGGATTAAGTCAACTCATGAGAGAACATGATTATCCTTTAGGTACGTTTAAATTTCGCAACCTGACATTTTTCCTTTTATCATTCGTATCTATTCAAAATCTTTGTGTGAAATTTCAAATATTTCCAATCATTAATCTTATCGTGTATAACCTCACGTACTATAGAAATTACGTAGGTATATCTGCTTCTACTTCTTTCAAAGTAACCTTCATGAAATGCTACCTACAAGCTTCATTATATACAAAACACACCTTACACTGCGAAGAAGAAAAATTAACATCTTTTTCCCATTTGGTTTACTTTTCAGGCTGTATCTAATAATTAGGCAAATTAGAAGACGATTATTTAAACGGGTTCTCATCTTTCCAAAGGAAATTTAATATGCAGTTCCTATAGAATGTATCAGAAGAGCTCTCAATTAATCTTAACCTGGTATAGTTCTTTCCCTTGGTTTATGAATCTCAGTTCAGTTGATTCAGATCTTTCCAAAAGCTTCAGCGCTTTTACTAATTTAAGTGTTTTAGGAATTCTTCTATTTTAGTATAGATTGCAATTCATTGACCCCAGTATGATTGTTGTTCACTTTAATGAAATTGAAACCTTTGATTGAAGAACCCACATTAAATACTGTGGAAATAGTATTTCAGTTATGGTGAAACTAATGTTTGACTTATTATAAAAAATAGTTTTAGGAATAATTGCAAAAGAAAACCGTTTGTACATATAGAATAAATCTTCCAGGGGACAGGGAAATTCCATGTCTATGCTATCTTCAATAAACTCTTCTTTCTAAATTATAATTTAAATGAAAAAAAGAAAACATTTACGAAAGGCAATAAATTATATAAAACAGCTTAATAAAGGAGAACCATCAATCCAAGTTGGTAGGGAATCTCAAATCCGTCCTCAATACGAAACTGTAGACTGCTTGATCCAACTACCTTATCTTTCCAAGTTCCTTTATTTCAATAGGAACAGAAGAAAACTCGGGAAGGTACAAAATTTACTTAAGATATTTATGAGTTCCCTCTCGAGCAATACTGTATTCCCAAGTTTCCATCGTCTTTCATATTTAAATTTTCACTCTAAATTGTCCGAATAAATACATTTTTTGGATTTATTTTATTCTTCCTGGTAGTAGTGATGGTAAAATCTTCCGAACCAAAAAGGTATCGTGTGATAGGAAATTATCCTCCTCTGTCTTGCGTTAGACTGATTAGCACACATGAAAGATTATGTTAGTGTTCTGCCAAGCAATAATCCCCGAAGTTGCTTGCAAGTACCGGCGAAACGTTGGAACCCGGCTAGAATTTTGAGGGAGGTGCAGGTAGGGTCCCTAAGTGGGTATCTACACTATCTCTTGTGGGCACCATGCGGTTGCCCCCTAGGGCCGCCTTGCCTTGCCGCATTTGCGCATCATCAGGAATGTCGCATGTGGTCCCCGTGGGAAAAAATTATTGCTACCCCATTAAAAATTTTTGGAAAAATGAACTTTATTATTAATGAAAAAAAATGTGATAGGTTTTCCCCTTAAGACCCATATGAAAACCCCATAAGGCAATCCTCATTTTAGTATCACCACTTTTTTTGGTGGGATTTTCATGAGGAATCTACGAGGAAATCCTTATATCGGCATGCCCCTCATTAGGCACATGAGACCGGCACGCTACATGCCCCCATATAAGTTATAGTCGGGAACGACAACTTCAACAGAGAGACCACCTAAGAGAGAAGATTTTATGACCATATTAGTCAACAAGCTCGGAAAACAATTTCCTAATAATACAGATTTTTGGTATAATGTATTTTTGAATTTTGTATTGAATTTTAGAGCATTCACACATTAAAGCAAATCATGTCCACGGTTAGAGTTAATTCAATTATAATGGTGTGTAGGTACTCTTAATTCTGCTTATACTCCATCTCCACCACAACACAAATTATGAAAGTAAGAGTAATATATTAGGAGTAGGTATAATGAATAGCGTAAATTGGAGGAAATAATATGGATCTAGAATATTTTACAATTTGTAGTAACTGATATGATGGTTATAATGCTCGGTAGAACGCCATTGAATGGAATAAAAAACTGTAAAATTTAGCTTAGCAAGAAAGCGTTTAGCATAGTAATTAGATCACAGTTTAGCATTCAGAGAGACACTAATTCAATTCCGAATCAATCTGCCTTAGATCATCTATTGTATGGCTTCCTGGCACACATTATTTTGTCACAGATAGTGTCTATTGTCTACATCACGTCCATCTCGTGATCTATATCTCGTTATTAGTAACCACAGTCACCCATCAATTCCTAACAATTCCTAAAGGAGGCCTAAATTAGTAATACTGATCACTTTTTGCGCCAGAGTTTAGGTCGACAGTATCAGTTGCTGGGAATTGGGAATAAACCACAGTTATGTTTTGTACTTAATGCATTATTATACTATCAGAGGATAAGTAGACAGCTAGTTAAAAACTTTCGAAGGTTCAAGAAGCAAGAATTTGAATGTCTTGATATTCTTAACTCATGTAAATACATGGCAGTGCTCCAAGTAACCACTAGAATTTAGCAACGATCAGAGTGCTTGTAGTCAAAACTTTAAGGTGCTAAGGGCAGCTTGTAGTTGAAATATATCAAAGGCTAGATCAAACCTCTATTGTTATTATTGATCTATAAGGTGAGACTGTCGTATTTCATAATAATGTGGAAAGAAATTCAATAAGCCGATGCATTATACTTATAGTAATACATTAAGGGTAGGTATAAGCAAAACGGTACGATATGGCGTTCTTATTGTATTTAATAAGACTTCTAGAAAGCTTTTAACTGAACGCTATCAGTTCGCGTGCATCTACAGAGCGGCTTATAGATCTCATCAGTGCGCCTTTCAAATTTGACGCAAGTCATATGTACGGCTCATTTTTATTTACATTTCTACCCCTCTGTCCGACCGTAGTTAGGTACGGTTTTCTATATTCATACTCTAATAACATCGACTGTTCTATGTAATATATGCATGTGCATATATACATATAACTACGTACGCTACAGTTCTTTCGTTTATATCTGATCAGAAAGGGGTTAGCACTTTCTTATTTATTTTGTTACATTAACAAAAACATAAGAACAATAAAATTACTCATTGTAGCAATTTTTAATTGAATAGTTGCTGCATATATATCATTTGCAGCGAATACAAGTCTTTCATGAAACTGATTGTCAGCCCCAAGTAGATTTGTGTCGGTAACTTCGAAAGAAAAGTACAGCATGCTCTAATTTTTTCAAAGTCAAATAAGTTATCTAAATCTATTAAATTATTATTGCCGGGGTTTTTTAGTCTTTTTTCTCTGGTAGAATTATCCGGCACTGCCGGGTATCCGGCGTCATTATCTGGTACCCGGCTGAATCCTAAAAGAACTGCCGGATTTTTATTTATTTTTTTTTTTTATTATTTCAATTTTGATCATAAACATTCTTCGTAAAGACTCAAGACCATAGCTTGAATATAACTTGAGAAAATCTTAGCCACTATACTCAAATATATATTTAAAAACCTTTCAGCTGAAAGAAGTCAAGGACGCAAATATCGTTTTTGTCTCATCTCACTCAGGTATAGTTAATGAATGGAATCGACGTATCGAGATAAATTTAAAGGGTTCGAAAAGGGTGTCTTTAAACTACGAATTTTGACCGACGGTCGACAGTTCGTGTTATGATACCCTCGTCGAATAGGTGGTTTGTAAGTTGAGTGGAATGTATTTTTGGGATATCAGTTTCACAATCTGGCTTATAATTGACGGGACCAGTAATCAAGTTTCA